GCAATATGTCTGCAGTACCACATTCTGTACATTCGGTTGTTCTCTATAGTGTAAGGGAACAGCATGGGGAGGTGGGGAAAGGGGGGGATGACCCCTGCTTATCCAGGGAACAGAAAAACCTGTGCAAAAAACCCCCTGAGTGTTGCATGTGGGGGCAACGTGCACCACTCAAAACTGGAGAGCCATGCTCCAGCTGCCAGCCAGGCTCCAAATGGCAGAATCACTGCGGCTGCAGCCCCAGGAAGTCCCCAGGACCCCAGGGAAGGCTGCTGGGGCCAAGATACACTGCTGTTAGTTGTCCCTGGGGAACCAAATGTCCTCATTTATCTGGATGCAGCTCTAAAGATTAAAAGTGTCTTATATAAGGTACCTGAAGACAATATCCTAAAGAATATTTTCTATACACTCAAAATCAGCTTCAAAGCTGACACAAGAAGCTTGTCAAGAGGCTTGTCAAATATGAAAAGGCACTGCCTCTATTTTTTTCCCTCAAAATTTTAGGCTTCATCCAGATTTTTACAGCTTTCTCAGAAACATGCTATATTTGCTACTGGTTGCTAATCTAGATGGATGAATGATTTGATTAGATTATGGCAGTTCCATAATCTATAATTACTATCTACAATGGAGAAGGAATCTATTTGCAGTCCTATACCACTGACAATATAGTCTGTGAAGCTTCTTTAATATTATACCAAAAAATGCAAAAAGAAGAATGTCACAATGGAAAGAGAAGCGGTAAGGATTTGGTCCACATTTGAAGGGGAAGAATACAGAAGAGTGAAACACAATCCAAAAAGTATGGAAACAGAATATTAAAATGTCAAAGTATACACACTGTCACTTTCTTTAAAAGAAAAGTCACTGAAAGGCACTTTATACTGGCAGGCTGTTGGGACTTACCCATCAGGATGTAAACTTTCTAACTTTTTTGCAGTATGACATTGACTAGTAATTGTAAGGGAAAATACTGATAGAATATTTCCTGGGTGAGACAATATCATGAGGAATATACCATGTCAGTGAGAGCATATATTCCCAAATCTTCTTAGGATCCCATCTTTAGCTCTCAATTTCTTTTAGAAATACAGCGGCTACAACAGTTCAGCAGCTAACAACAATGCAGGACTTTCCAGCCTGCAACTTGGAGTCACATAAACAGAGAGAAGATGACTGGAGATGCATAAACCTCCCTATCTATTAATAATTCTGTATATCAACATAAATTTTAAAATGGAAATTTATATTAGTAGTTTTAGAGGTCATGTTTATGCTAAACTCTTTAATTATTTCTCAAGATGAGAAATGCTTTTCCCATAAATATATGTTTTTCCTATGACTGAATTTTAATGTGTGTCACTAGAAATATTACTGGGTACCATATTTAATATGAAATACAAGTACCAGTGATACTTCAGTGCCTTTCTAGCATCCACATCTACAGTATTCACTGGAACATTAATGAGTTTACAAGTAACAAATCAGAAACTAGAGATAATTTTATTTTATCATCTTTCTTAAGCAAGGGGGAAAAAGGAAGCTCACAATACAAAACAGACAGGAGATGGAATATAAAATATTTAAAAGGAAAACATTTCAAGATCTTGTTTTGAAATAAACTATATACGGTTAAGAAAAAAGGCCTTCCTCCCACTTTTCAAAGTTCTAGGTGGAAGCCAAAAATATTACCCAAAGCATCGCATCTTTTTTTCCATTGACCTCTCCCTCTCCCTCTCCCCCCTTTTGGTACCAAAAATAGACTCCACTATTCATTTATCAACTACTGAGCAGATGGAAGAATAAATGTAATACCTTCAGTTTGTTTGATGGAGGGTCATTCAATTCACAGTCATTCTCCACAATATAATTTATGGTTTGAATCTAAAAGTCTTTATTTAATTTTAACTGTCTGGAAATCAAAGAAAAATGTACATTTAATCATGGAATATTAAGCAAAAAAGGATTATATTATACACATTATATTATGCACCAGTTTTACCACAGGAAATTACTATGACATTTTCTCCACTCTCTTCCACTGTTTTAAAAATTAGATACACCTGCACAATATTAAAATCAAAATCTTTAAAAAGCAGTTACATTACTAGGCTTTCTTCCTTTGTCTAAACCCATTCACCTCAATGGTATTACATGTAAAGTTAAGGCCTGATCAGCTAAAATCAGGCTATGTCTATTAGTTATAAACATGCAGCTCTTAAAAATGTTTAGTAGTGCTAAGAGCACAGGACCTTAAAATAAGCATTTCTCTTGAAAGCATCACAAAAGTAGATGATTGCTCTGCAGAAACATATTTAATGTTTTGGTGAATGGTGAATAAGATTACACAGAAAAGGAAAATAAATGTGGATAATACTTCCCACACTGGCCATGAAACAAGCCACATTAATTCATTTTCTTTATTGGATTGTGTCTATATTATTTTCTCTCCTTCCTCTTTTGGAATTTTCAGCTCACAAGTTCTAACTGGTCATGTTTAATAACAGAATCAGTTTTCTTTTTACCCTTAGAGTCATATAATAGATAGAGTATTGACAGAATCTAAACCACAAAGTCTAAACTTAAATTTCCACCAATATGGAAGTCATGGAATCATAGAAAATTAGGGTTGGACGTGATCTCAGGAGGTCATTTAGTCCAACCCCCTGCTCAAAGCAGGACAATCCCCAACTAGATCATCCCAGCCAAAGCTTTGTCTAGCCAGGTCTTAAAAATCTGCAAGAATGGAGATTCCACCACCTCTCTGGGTAATCTGTTCCAGTGTTTTGCTACCCTCCTAGTAAGAAAATTCTTCCTAATATCTAACCTAAACTTCCCTTCCTGCAACTTGAGACCATTGCTCCTTGTTCTGTCATCTGCCACCACTGAGAAGAGTCTAGCTCCATCCTCTTTTGAACCCCTGAAGTGTTCAAGACCATATGTTTTTGGTTCAATCTATTTATAGTAAATAAACCATATGGCTGGTGCTTTCTCTGAAGTGGCTTGATTATTTCCACTGAATCATTCTACTGCTATTAATGAGAGTCGTTTGGCCACCACCAAATACTTTGGAAAATACCAGCCAGAAATAATATTTTTATCATTATCAATGTATATGTATCTGAGAATCTCTTTACCCAATGTTTTCCATAGCCACTTGTTTTATAATAATTATGCTCTCTCTTCAAAAATAGTAATCAACACTAAATACAACCTAACATATTAGTGACAATGCTTTCTTTGCCTATTTGCATACAGATAGGTATATACCCCTTTTTATCAGCAAAAAAATTTTCTGTAATAATTTCTTAATCATGCTATAGATTTCTTAAGTAAGATCCATCTGTTGTAGTACTTCATACAGTGTTAAAGATACTTGGAGAAGGATTATCTTTCTCTATTAGAATAATTGAACTTTAAAGTACTTTGTGTATCACCCTTCTGTTTTCATATCCAATTAATCTATAATGACTATTTTAGGTCTTAATATTCTAGCCATATAAAACACACAGACAAGAACCAGAGGAGCAGGAACCCATGTAGGAAAAACAGAATTTAACTGCGTATTCTTTTCTTTTTGACTACCTTCTGTAGGGAAGCACAGTGTAAGATACTTCAGACACCAGAGAGAAAAACAGGAAACTTTTTAATTTACACAAATAGCATTAAACATAACGCAGATCCCGTGATTTCAACATTAAACACATTACTTAAACTGAGTTAGATTTTCCTGGTATTCCTGCATAGCTGTTGGCACCTCATTAAGGCTCATTTTGTATTACTCAGAGTGCCTTGTCTTTAATAGCAGCCTTGAAATTAACAACCCTAGCATGAACCTCCCACTCTACATGTTAGGAAGTTATCTGATTGCCAAACGAGCTTACTATAATTGGATTAGGCTGTGTACAGAGCCTCATAACTCTGGTAATTTGGGGATAGTGGTGATATTAAGTACTGACGGCTACAATTCTTTGGGGTTTAAAGTAGGGGAAATGCACAAGTGAATTGATTAACTGGCAGGAAAGCAAACAGAGAAGATGACCTCCATTGACAATTTACCTCTGATGTCTGCGGGGCTAGTCTCAGGGGCTAGTTACCAATTTGTTTACTGGTGAGCGTTAAACAAGTACTAACATGATTCACCTTATTAGGCTCTCCTTAGTGGCTCCTAGTGCAGGCCTTAGACTATAGAAAAGTCAGTAAGAAATAGGCAGAAGGGCCTTTATTACACCAAACAAATCTGCTACTCTGGTCTCATACTGGTACAGGGGAATACACTAAGGGCATAGACAGAAATTAGGTTTGTTGTGCAACTGGCTGTTTGAAAGAGCTCTACAGCCATGACCTAACAGGACAGCATGGCTGCAAAGCACTTTAAAAGTGCCCAATTGTGGGACAAATTAATCTGTAGGCTGGGCAGACCTCAGACAGAGCTCCCGTGCCTCTCTTCACCACCTCCCATCCTGAAGACAGCACTGGAGCTGAGAGGGGGTGAGGAGGCAGAACTAGGGGAGAGAGGCTGCAGACATATAACCTCTCTCCCCTGGATTGACTCAGAAGTGGAGATCTATTGCTGCTCCCCCTCCTTCCCTCCGAGGCCAAACAGTGAACATCTGTTAGGTAGTAGGGGGTTCACTTTCTGTGAAGCACCACAGGTTACAGTGGGGGGCTGCATGTCTGATAGCCCCCTAAGAGGATGACATTCATGGAACATATATAGCAATAGGGCTTTTAACCCTTCAGCCTTCCTATACTTGTGTTTAGTGTTGACAGTTCTTTTGTATATACATGATGCAAATATATGATAATCCAGAGAGAGGGAGCTGTACACTTAGATGATACTTACTGTATTTTTTTATAAGATTTCTTAAAGTGATATCTTCTATTGGACCAGTTACATAGTTGGAATAGAGTTAAACAAGATTTTTGATAAAAAATATTCTTCTTCAGGTCACAAACCAAAAAACATCTGTATTGATTTTCCTTTTTTATTCTTTGAACAGAAAGAGCGAGAGAAAGGTTCTAATCTTGCATTTATGTTTCGACTGCCTTTTGCTGCTGGAAGGGTTTTCAGCATCAGTATGTTGGACACACTGCTTTACCAGGTACTATAATATAACATTATCTGCTGTACCACACAAATACATTGTTACTATATGACTACTCATTCTTTATACACAGTTTTTAGAGGACATCGTGCCTTTCATACACTGAAGTTATGCAATAATGTATTGATACTTATGATATCAACCTGCATATAATAAATCATTACTAAATTGAAGAGTTACTTGTAAAGTAGTTCAAGGAAAAGCTTTGATTTTTTCAGATATATGTTATATTCTTCTTTCATATGACTCATGTAGATACAAAACAGCAACTACACTTTGAAATTTAAGTTGCTGAGCCAGATAATTGTCAGGAACAGCAGAGCATATCACTGTGTATCACTGTGCAGAAGAGTGTATCATTCCTTCATACTTGTGGATTGGACATTGAGTTGTTATATGTCCCATGGTCTGTTCTGGGTGGCCACAGTCGTACACTAGAGAGTTTAAAATTTTCCATCAGTGCATCAAATATCTGCATCTCCCATGGTTTGTGCAGATACAGTTTAGAGTTGCCCATGAGCATCACAGGAGATCAAAGCCAGGGACCTTGTGCTTTGGATCTATCACAAGAAATTTATGTGGAACTTCCTGTGAATGCCATTAGATTTTCCAAGCTTCATCAGGGTTGAAGGTTAAGCACGTGGATTCAGAAGGGCTTGCACAACTTTAGGCAATGGTGAAGGGAATTTTTGAGGTCTTGGTGGATGGGTAGATGTTTGTTTTCCTTAATTTGTTGGACTTCCATCAAGTTGCTGCCTCATAACAAATGGGTGGAGGAATGATGTGTGGCAGCATGGAAAGACAAGGTGTTGGGGCCAACTTTAATATATGTTATATTAAAGTTTCTTCAATTAATTTACACTTGTTTTTGTAGTTCTGGAGTGGTGATAGCTAGAAATATCACAACAGATTAGAAACAGATATAACCCCCAATTGCACTAGTTAGAGGTATATTCAGAAAGATGCTGCAACTGTGCAAGAATCCATCCACATCAAGCCAGCTGCAGGATCTGAGCAATACAAAGCAATTTTTTTCTGGCCCTGCAGTCTGTGAAAGGCATTACAGAGGAACAAATGAGGCTGTGATGATAGCATTCAGACCATTTCTATTTTGATCCCAAAAAGAGAGAGTTAGATTCAAAGAAAATAGGGTGTTTCCTCTTCTGACAGGAATATTCCAAGGCAAGGGCAAAAAGATAATGAAGCGTATTCTGCATGACTGTCTGTTCACTCATCATTAACTCAGCAATGATCACTACACGCCTTCCCCCTTACAAGCAGTTCCTGCTTCTCACAATAGAATATTGCACCTGGAGCTCTTTGCAGCCAAAATAAGGGGCATATTAGTAATGCAGAATATATACATCAGTTCATCTGAGAAGTAATTATACCACTGTACCTATAATTGCTATATCTTGGCTTGTATTCTGGTTTACAAAGAGAAGATCCAGTGCTACCCATGAAAATCAGGATTACTTATGTGAATAATGTTTCTCAGATATATTTATAAGAACATGTCCGGAGTACTGGATACAAGATTCTGCCCCCTTAATCACAATGAATGATATCTTACCATCCATCCACATCCTTTCACAGCAACTAATGAAGTGAGCTTTGTCCCACAAAAGCTTGTGGTATGTGTGTGTGGGGGCGGGGGGAGGAGGGTGTATGTATGTGTGCACATTCATACTTTGGTTAATATATAAAAAGCAAATCTACCCTGTCTTTTACTATCCAGCTGCACTAGATGCATCTTAGGGTACTATGTTCTCATCTGAAAACTTGTTAAATCAGCTTCATTTTATAGGATTAGGCTCCAAGTGCTCAGTTTTTTTTCAGAAATTTATTCAGTGTCATGATAGATATATTCTTTAAACCTTAAATGTAGTTACAGATAAAATCACTTTGAAAAAATATGCATATGGTGCAAAACAGATTCTTGTAGTCAGGTTCATTTGTCACAGTCTCTCAGTACAGGAAGTAAGCTAGTACACATATGGATGCAAAAACCAGAGGTAAACACACTCTATTTAAACCCATTCATCAATTGCTCTGCATTTTGGAAATAAATGTTTTCACTCACAAGGCACAGTCTAACTTTGCCCTAGGTTATGAACAAGGATTAAAGTATTATTTTATAAGAAGATAAACAAGTATACTCTCTTATGGAAACAGATTTTTGTCATCAACCATTAACTCCTGCCATTACATAAGTAGTTCCAATATTTTATATTTGTTCCCAGGCACTGGCAGCTGGGATCCATTTTTCAACCAGAACACTTCCATATTATTTAATGGAGTGAGATCTTTATAATTACATTTTAAAATAAAATTTTATTTCCCATTTTCTGTGCTAAACCATCCATTATTTTCTTCAGATTTCCACTTCTGACCCAACCAGTTACTTTTATTTGGAGGTCCTGTGTCATATATACCAAGTAACAAGTGCCATAAAAACATCTGCTTTTTCCATTTTCTTCTCCCTGCCATGATTTCCACACTGCAGCTTTTTCTTTCTGAGTAGAATTTAGGATTTCTCCTTTATTGTTTCCTCAAGAAATAGGATGAAACCAAAACCCCATCTCTATTTTACCTCTGAAACCACATTGGGACTCAAATAGAAACTCCAGCCAAAGGAGTGAGTCTATTGAGTTCAATGTGGGCAAAAATCTTCCCAGCTATGGACAGGGAGCGCAATGCCATGGTAATTACTGCACTCCAGTCTGTCTCCTTTCTCAAATATAGTTATGATTCTGGCATTTCTCAACTCACCTGGAATCTGTTCATGTTTCTAGATTTTCAGAATAATGGCATGCAGTTAGTGAGAGAGCTTTTTCCACCATGCTTATGAGTTTCAGCTGGTATTCCATCAGCACAACATTTTGTTCTTCATCAGCTCTGTGGCTTTCAAGGCATGTTGATAGGTTGGTGGGTCTTCAAGGTAGTCATTAATGGGATGTTGTTGAATGGCTTTGATGGGGTTAGCTTCAATACCACAATCTCAGTTCAGAGGCTCTTGAAAGTGTTTCTTCCACAGTACGTTGATGGTGGAGCTGTCTTTAAACAATGTTGTTCTATCCTTAGACTACTGAGGCATGACTCCTTGTGTACTTGGCCCATAGATGGCTCTGGTTGCACTGAAAAACTATGCATATCATGGCTGTCAGCAAACTTTTGAATCTTTTTTGCTTTGTCCTCCCACCACCGGTTCTTATATTTCCAAGTCTTCCTCTGGGTCTCTATTTTAATTTGTCAATAAGTGTGTCTCACTCCTATTTTGAGTTGCTAGCGTTCTAGCAAGCTTTGAAGACTTCTTTTTCTGTCAGTGCAAGCTTGAATTTCTTTATCATTCTCGTCAAACTGGTCTTGATGTTTCTTTGTGGAGAAGCCTAGAGATTCTTCACATGCCTCATAGATTTCTTTCTTAAGCCTCTCCCAGTAGTGATACAGTGTCAAGATCATCAGGGGCTAGGGACAGACATCCAAAAAGCTGGAGCCTGAATTGATTCAATCTTTGTAGGTTAGTCTAACCTGCCTAGGTTGAACTGATTTGTAACAGCACAAGACATTCCTTGTGGACTGAGGAACTACGGGCACATGCCTGCAGTTGCTCACACCAGGAGCCGGGGAGTGCTAGAGCACCCCCTGTGTGGCAGGGAAGCTGTGCTGTGGGGGCATGGCTAGCCTGGGCTGAACAGGCCAGAGAGGGGTTTAATTCCCCCATCCCTGTCTTGCCAGCAGGGACCCAAGCTGCCCCACATCGCTGCTGCAGCAGTGGGCCACCATGGCCCCTGAGGCATATGGGGCAGGAAGGGGGGTTATTCTCCCCTCTACCCCCACTACTACCCCCAGGGACCACAGGTGGTCTGCCAAGCCCAACCTCCACCACCACCACTCGCTCTGGCTTGGGACAAGGAGCAGAATAAGCCCCCTCCATTGGATGCTGGAGGGAGGGGGAATAATCCCTGGCCCTGGCCCCTGCCTAACAGGCCCTGCCAGCTGGCATCTGGCTATGACTCCACCCGGCTGCTGCAGTGGCGGCGGGGCAGGGCCCTTGATGGGGGAAGCAGCCCCATCATAGTGTCTGGGAGCATGAGCCCCTTCCCAGTGTGGGGAGGGGGCCCACTGTGGGGCAGGCAGTGCTGTGGCAGACTGCATGCGGCAGCACTGGGGCTTGGAGGGGGGAAGAGTCCTGCAAGCTGCTGCCACCACCACTGCCACTGTGGTCCACAGCAGCTTTCCTTGTCCCACAGTGTTCCCCCGCTCCTGCCAGGAAGGGATTCACACTCAGGGAAACCATGAGAGAGACTGCTGTCCCTAGCATGGCCACACCCCATTCCCCACTTCAGTGGCCAGACAGGGGCAGGGCCAGATGGTGGCAAGCAGGGCCCCTTGAGTGGGGGGCAGAGAGCAGGGTTATTCCCCACTCTGCCTCCAGGGCACTGCAGTGGGGTTTGCCTGCCCTGGCCACAGCCGCTGCCACTTGCCCTGTGCCTGGTGCAAGCAGCAGAATAAAACTTTTCCTGCCCCATTCTCTCCGGCATGGTGAAGGGGGCTTATTCCACTGCTTGCCCTGGGCACAGAGTGAGTGGCAGCTGGGGTGGGTGGATCCTGTTATGGTGCCCCGGGGGAATAACCCCTCTCTCTGTCCCCACCTTAGGTGCCTGACAGACGGGGCTCTAGCCCCACACCTGTCCCCACCCAGCTTCTAGAGCGGGGAGGGGGGAGCAACAGTGATGGGGCACCTGTCACAGTTTCCCCAAGTGCATGTCCCTTCCCAGTTGGGGGCCCTGCTGCAGGGCAAGGAAAGCTGCTGTGGACTGCAGTGGTGGTGGCTTGCCAGACTCTGGCCCCCTCCAAGCCCCCGTGCTTCTGCACACAGTCAGCCACAGCTCTGCAGTGGGTGCCCCCTGCTGGCAAGGGTCTTGCACTCCCAGACACTATGACAGGGACTGCTGCCCCCATCAAGGGCCCTGCCCCCTCGCTGCTACAGCAGCTGGGAAGAGGAGTGGTCAGATGCCCAGTCAGCAGGGCCCCTAGGTGGAGGGCAGGGACGGAGGTTATTCCCCTTCCCTTCTGTGTCCTGCAGAGGGGGCTTATTCCGCTGCTGGCCCCAAGCAAGGAGTGAGCGACGACAATGGCAGTTGGGATGGGCATACCCGGCTGCAGTCTTCCAGAGGCAATGTGGGCAGAGGGGGGAATAAACCCCCGCTCCCTGCCCCCTCTGCCTTAGGAGCCATGGTGGCCTGCTGCTGCAGCAGCAAGGGGGGAACCCTCGGTAGACCTGGCTCACGTCCTTGCTGATGGGACAGGGAGGGGGGACCCTATTTTTCCCTGCTTGGCTGGGGAGCAGAGGGGCAGAGTCAGCCGTACTCTGCTGGAGCTGAGAGCCTAGCCTAGAGAGCATGCAAGGGGACTTTGGTTTAAGTTAAATTGGGAAGGGGTGTGAGACAGCATTACATAAACCAGTTTGATCCAAATCAGTTAAGCCTGATACTACGTTCAAACAAGTTTATCTCAAACCAGTTTCAGCCATTTTCAAACTGGTTTATGCGCACTGAACATCTGTTCTGTTACAGGTTTAAACCAGTTTCTGATCACTTAAACCCGTTTATGTGTAATTTCATAGTTTCATAGTTTCATAGTTTAGGGTCGGAAGGGACCTAATAGATCTTCTAGCCCGACCCCCCGCCAGGGCGGGAGAACAACAAAAGAACCCTAAAAACAAAAAACGGGACTCAAATGAGTCCAGCCAGGTAGGTATCCAGCCTCTTCTTAAAGATCCCGAGGGTAGAGGCCAGCACCACCTCCCTTGGAAGTTGGTTCCAGCTCCTAGCCGCCCTAACTGTGAAGTAGTTTTTTCGGATGTCCAATCTGTACCTCCTCTCCATCAACTTGTGCCCATTACTCCTTGTTATGCCAGCGGGGGCTAGGGGAAACAGCGTCTCCCCCAAACCCTTCTGGTTCCCCCTAGTGAGTTTATAGACGGTCACCAGGTCCCCCCTCAGCCTTCTCTTGTGGAGGCTGAATAGGTTCAGGTCCCGCAGTCTCTCACTGTAGGGTCTGCCCTGTTGTCCCCGGATCATGCGGGTGGCCCTCCTCTGGACCCTCTCCATGTTGTCCACATCCCTCCTGAAATGGGGCGCACAGAACTGGACACAATACTCCAGCTGCGGCCTGACCAGCGTCGCATAGAGGGGGAGGATCACCTCCCTGGCTCTACTCGAGATGCACCTGTGGATGCACGACAAGGTCCGGTTAGCCCTGCCAACCATGACCTCGCATTGTCGGCCCATGTTCATCTTGGAGTCAATAATGACACCAAGATCCCTTTCCGCCTCCGTGCTCTCAAGTAGGGAGTTCCCCATCGTATAAGTGTGCTGCTGGTTCCTACTACCCAAGTGCAGCACCCTGCACTTGTCCGTATTGAAACACATCCTGTTCCTGTTTGCCCACCCCTGTAACCTATCCAGATCCTTCTGCAATCTCTCTCTCCCTGCTAGCGTGCTCACCTCCCCCCAAATTTTGGTGTTATCAGTGAATTTAAACAGGTTGCTTTCCACCCCAACATCAAGATCGCTGATGAAGAAATTGAACAGCGCAGGCCCCAGGACCGAGCCCTGGGGGACTCCACTACCCACCTTCCCCCAAGTTGAGTATGATCCATCCACCACCACCCTCTGAGTGCGACCCTTCAGCCAATCTGCAATCCATCTGACTGTGTAGGCATCTATGCCACAGTCGCCTAGTTTATTAATTAGGATGGGGTGAGAGACGGTGTCAAAGGCCTTGCTGAAGTCCAGAAAGACTACATCCACCGCAACGCCTGCGTCCATGGCCTTTGTGACCTGATCATAATAGGCAATCAGGTTGGTCTGACATGATCTCCCCCTAATAAATCCATGCTGATTGCCCCTGAGCATCATTTCTGATGCCGGCCCATCACAAATGTGCTCCTTGATGATCTTCTCAAAGAGTTCCCCCAGGATTGAGGTAAGACTGACGGGCCTATAGTTGCCCGGGTCCTCCCAAGCCATAACCTCCCAAGCCATGTCCCAAGCCATAAACCTGCCTGGTTTCACATTGGCAGGAATCACATTGCACTCTTCAAAGAAAGGAGGATAAGGAAATGCATTCTACACCCTCTGAACTGTTGTGACTTTTGAATTATACTTGAGTTATATTTTTAGAAGTTTCCCCTGGATTTTTCCTGGTACTCTGAATTACTAAATGGCACAACCTCCCCTTAAGACATCTTGTTTTGCAAGATGTCTTTCACACATGCTAAAACAAATTGCTTTACATACATAAGTTTACTCCAGAGATCACTAGTTAATATATACGGTATTATGTCACATGGTGTCATACAACACAATGGGAAAAGGAGCTAGTACAAGGTTTGAAGGGCTAAATTTTTCATTTTGACTCTAGTGCTGTTAATTTACCTTTTCATAATTTGTATTATATTTAAATGGAGTGTCCTAATCATTATTTTAATCTCTCCAAAAGGTGCTTGGCCTTTTCATTTAGATAAAACTTTCATACCAAATGTATCAAGCTAGTTAAATCCCATGCACTGCTTAATACCTTAGGAAGCATCTATTCATTTTCTATTTCTGTTCACCACTATGGATAATATATGCTTCGTGGGGGGTTCGTATTTTATTTTTTGTACAAATAGTTCTAGCAGTAGATTTGATACCTCTATAAAAAAAAAAGAATCCCTTTCAGAGTTATATTTTAGAACGTAAATCAGTTATGATATATATGTTCTAGTTTACACATTCAGTCATGTTGTGTGTGAATTTTAATTACCTGCCAATCTGTGCACTGAAGCTTTTTCTTTTCTCTCCTTCTCATTTAATCTTTCAGTCATTTGTGAAGGATTATATGATCTCTATCACAAGACTTCTGCTGGGACTTGATACCACACCAGGATCTGGGTTTCTTTGTTCTGTAAGTTAAAAAAAAAAGCAGATGATTACAAAGTGCCATAGAAGGTTTTTTCCCCTCCACAAAATACCTCTGCTTTCTTTGTACTGTAATTTCTTTTATTACAGTCCAAAAAAAGACTCCATCTGTTTCCCTTTTCTTCAGAAAATTAGTTAGGAAAAGTAGGTGGAAATTTTCAACACTTCTGTCTAATTGAAAAGCAAAAAACAAACTTCCTATATCATTCTAGAAACTGTAAGGAAGTGGAGAAGTTATGCTAGTTTCTGGCATTTAAATAATTGTTTTGGAGAAAAAAATTAGATTTTTCCTATAATATTTTTTTACATGAATTAACAAATGAAACTGCCTACCTTCATGGAAATTTTTAGCTACACTGAAGCAACATTTGACTAGGACTTATCTAACCTACTCACTCAGAATCACAGGATCATAGGAAAGTATCTCTGGCAGGGACTTCACAAGATCATATAGTCCAAATGAATTTGTACTAGGTGCAGAATCATGGCAAAATTAGGCCATAGGCATCAGATAAAGATGGTGGCAACTGGTTAGATGATTTTAGGGTACAGTGGGTGTGTCTACCCATCACCATATGAGCTGTAACTGTGCCGGACTGTCACTGTGCTGTGCGCACTGCACATGGGTAAATTTCCCAACTACATTACCATAGTGGTGCGCTATAGCCAGGGAGTGTGCTACTCTGGCAATGTAGCTGGCGATTACATGTAGACATACGTGATCGCTATGTTGCCATAGGGTGATGTGTAGACACACCCAATATCTCCAACATTTAAAAATGTCAGAAACGTATATACTTCAGTTACGTTTAATCCAACTTATCCTGAGTAACAAAGCAAGTCACTTGGACTAGTATCTATTCCTAAAATACTGAGAGTTTTGTACAGAGGGGTTTGATAGATATAAGGAAAACTAAATTCATTGGCACAGGTGCCTTGTAAATATTGTACTGTATTCACCTCAATTAACTCAAAAATGAAAAGTAAAAGACACTGAACAACATGAATAAACTGTGAAATGTATCTGGAAATGTTGAGCTATCTGGGAGACTAAAGGTTTGATCCAAAGGCTGCTGACATCAACAGGCTTTGGATCAGACCTACAGGGAACACATACCATAAGCAATTATTCATATGAAAAATCTCATTATTCTAATATTATTTATGTGACCATGATTCAGGCCTAGAAAATGAACAAGCTCAATGCTAGTTTCAGAAGTTTGTTTAAAAATATTTTAAATATTTAAAAATGTACTTTTTATGCCAGTTGCTATACTGTGGCAAGATACTGTAGCAAGGTGTTTGTGTGTGTCTTACACAGCATGCATGCAGTATGGGTCTCTAGTGCCTTCCTTTTGTAAATGAGGCTAATGCAGTAGTCGTAAGAGAATTTTCACGTCCATTTCTTACATTCTTCACATGCACTATGCAGCTTTTATTTTTAAATATTCAGGCTACTGGACTAACTGATAAATACTGATTCTCAACACAAAATAGTCCTTGAATTTCTCAGTCTTTCCATGACATCTTGTTTGTATTGTGAGCCATTTTACTTTGCCATCAGCTTCTTGAAATAGCATTGGATATGAGGTGCCAAATAGAGAGACCCTCTTTTAAAGGTCCACCTATTTGCTTGAAGTATTACACAGGAAAGGAAAGAACAATAATAAATAAATAAAAGAGAGAATAAATGGAAACACTGGGAGAAAGGTAGAATACTAGTATATAAGTAAGTGTGAGACTAAACCCTTGATGCTTTTGAACAGTCCTATGCTAAATAAGAGAGACAATTATTTGGAAAAATAAGAAGCGTATTTTTTATTTTTATTTTTCTAGATGAAAATCACAGAAGATGATCTCTGGATTAGGACATACGCCAGGTTATATCAAAAGCTTTGTTCTTCTTCAGGTGATATTCCCATTGGGATCTATAGAACTGAATCTCAGAAACTTACCACATCAGAGGTTTGTTTGGTTTAACATACTTATTCTCTCATTTTGATAACAGAATATAGAATAGGATTTTGTACTGAAGGAACCCAACCTACTTCAATGCTAAGGTACTACTAATACTTGTAGTACAACTGTACACAAATATATTTGATAAGGTAGTCTGACAGTATGACACAATAAGTGTAACTTTTTGCACTGCTATAAGCTATCGTAACACTTGCTAGTAATTTTTCTTTTTCTTCCATTTCTTTCTCTCACTAGCATCACTAGGGTCTGTGTGAGGGATCCCTACAGGGACAGTGTCTTAAATCATATACATGAGAACAGCTCAGGGTGTTAAAGTGGAGGACAAGGATTATGCAGTAGCATGTCATATATGAACAGCAGTCCGTGCTATTTAAAGACTGGTCTTAGCGCCTTGTTACACAGTAATTCTGGATTGTAAACACATTAACACGTGAAACTATTTAGAAGTGCCCGTTATGCAAGTCAAAGTTACAGCACTCCACAGCAGGATTATCTCTGATCTGTGCTCCCTAGCTTATATTACGCTACACTTTAGTGTAAATACTCCAACTGCCTCCTTCTCCCTCTGGCCTGGATTGGACCCATTGTTACACTTCTGACCCTCCCTAGTACTCCAGATTCCCATTCACTGCTTCCCTCGTCTTCCTCCCCCTCTCCCTTCATTTACTTGTGGTTGTCTGCATTGTCTGCCCTAGGGAGCAGGCAGGGAAGGGTTAACCTGCCTGTCCAACTATCACCACTGCAGCAATCTGGGTCTGGCTCCCCTCAAAGAGCAGCAGCCTAGCAGTGGCAGCAGCAGCCAGCCAGGCAGGTTAACCCTTCCTTGCCTGCTCCCCAGCATAGGCAGCCAAATGTAAGTGGGGTTTAAACCAAAATCGGCTGGTTTAAGACTCCAGTGCAGACTTAGAGCTGGGACCAAAAATCAGCTGATTGTCAGTCCTGGCACTGCAGAGGAGTTAATTCAAGACTCCCATGTGGTAGTGGGGGCTGGGACTAACAGTTTGCAGATTATGGGTCCAGGCCCAATATGGCACCGAGGATGCTTGAAGACTCTGTGCAGAGGCTAACACTAATAGTCCTTAATCATAGTAAGCAATACCATGCAACTGCTCTGAACATATTCTAACTTTTAATACAGCATGGTAATGTTTACTATACTCAGGAAAAACCTGTGCTAAGTGTCCTGTGCTATAATGCTCTTATACTAGTGTCTAGCACAGAGGACAGTGTGTTTGGAGGTAGTTGTCTACAGTAGATGCTATTATGGTCAACCAACGCTAGGTGGCAGAAGAGCCAGGAAATAGCCTGTTTGCATTGAGCAAAACATTGAGCTGTGGACATATAACAATACAGTGGTGTAATTTACCTTAGTATAGTTATTCCTAAGTTTCTAATGAGTAACTGCTTCAGAATGGAGTCACTTAAATCAGGGGTGGGCTATTCATTGGACAGTCCAGATATACAGAAACATAAGAAAGTCATATTTACACAAAATTTCAGTGAAAATTCTAAATCAGATAAACCTTCAGAACACATTGCAAATCACATTGTTACAAGGGCTACTAGAAACACAAGCACTGTGAGAGTTTATATAAAGGAAGTAAAGCGTTTTTTTGGGGGGTGGGGTTTATTACAGAAATTAATTCAAAGTTCCTGTTTTTGTTTTGCCAGTTCAATTTAAAAAGTGGTCTGATTTTCATGACCTTGATGTAAGTGACCTTGATGTCAGTGGGGGTTATTTGGAGGGTGACACCTGGAAGCTTCCAGCAAGCTTCGTGGGCTTGAGGGTTGAGCAGCAGCTCTCAGCATACAATATGCTACATGGCTGCAAGCAGCACGTTGAATACAGTGCACTTAAGTAAAGAATCAGGTTGTTACAGTCCAAATGGAGTCAGTCACATTATTATTGCATGGCACTCTGTGTATGAAACAGCGGGCAGGGATGCAGGTGGCATGTTTACCAATAGAAGTGGCTATTTCCGGAGAGCTGTGGACAAGCCACTCAATTGTGCGTTCCTTTTTGGGATAATTCTGCTCTGGATTCAAGCAAGTTCCACCAGTGTAAGAGTTAACAATCTCCTTTCTTACATTGGTATAAGCATATCATGTTTCTAAGCATAGACTCAATTAAAAGGTAACAAACTATGCAAAGTAGCTCTTTGGCACAAGAGATGATGAGTCTGCAACAAAGAAGCCATTCTATTTCTGTTTTAAAAAGTCCACAGGAATTATCACTGTACAAATAGATAAATTAAATAGAATAACTTGGCACTCTGTTATTCTCAGCTGCCAGTTGCCAACGTGTATAGTTGCAGAATTCTTGTTACATGACTGAAACGTATGGTAATTAGAGGTGTTTTAATAAATATCTGTGCCAACAATTTGTGACAAAAGACAGAAAAGAAACTTCAGTAAAATTTCCACAAACAAATATTTCCATTTTCAATTAACCTAAATTGATCTGTTGTTGTGCTCACATCTATTCAGTCCAAGGGTAGATGCTGGAGCCTAGAATCATGTGCTTGGGCCTGGTCAATTTATTATATGTAGGACATTTTAACTACACTTCAAAAATGCAAACATTCACACATTCAAGCAGAATGTGCTTAATGCTAATGTAGCATAGTAAAGTTAGGACTTTTGGGGCAAAAAGTGTCTCCAGACTGTGGTAAGTAAAGTATGTTTAGCTAATGTCTGATTTCTACACAGAGATAAAAAAGGGTTACCATACGTCCAGGTTTTCCCACACACGTCCTCTTTTTTGGACCCTTGTGCTATGTCGGGGGGGGGGAGGGGGTTTAAAATAACAGCAGATGTCCAGGTTTTCTGCTTCCCATGGCTGGCTGCTCCAAGCTGAGAGCAGCAAGCAAGGTGATTGGCTGTTGGGGGTCATGTGCTCCCTGCGTGGGCTCTGACAAGCCAGGTAAACAGAGCGAGAGAGAGTGGGAACTCTCAAAATGTGGGAGCTGCTTGGGCAGCAGGGCTGGGGAGGCAGGGGTCTTCGGGTCGGGAGTGAGGGGCACCATCAGGGCCGGGGTAGCAGATGTTGAGGGTCCAGAGTGCAGGACACCAGCAGCGCTGAGGGGACAGGGGGCTGTGGGTTGGGAGTGAGAGCAACTGGCAGGGCAGGGGGCTGCAGGTCAGGAGTGAGGGGCACCGGTAGGACTGCAGGGGCAGGGGCTGCAGATCAGGAGTGAGGGACACCGGCGGTGCTGGGGGGGCAGGGGGCTGCAGGTTGGGAGTGAGAGGCACTGGCAGGGCTGGGGGAGGGGCTGCAGGTCAGGAGTGAGGGGCACTGCCAGGACTGGGAGTGTGGCAGGGGGCTGTGGATCAGGAGTGAGGGGCACAAGGGATGGGATGAGGGACTGTGGGTTAGGTGTGAAGGGCACTGGCAGCACCAGGGGGCTGCAGGTTGGGAAGAAGGTGTGCCAGCAAGGGGTGGGGGGCAGGGTACTTCTGTTTAGGAGCGAGGGGAACTGGCAGGGTTGGGG